AACCGTTCATGGTCGCACTCTGGTTGAAGGAGTCCAGGTGGATTTCCGGATCTTCCTTCCCGGTGAATCTGGGGGCGTCGATCTTGACCTTTCGCGGGAAAGGTGTCAGATGGACCCTTGTGGTGAACGGGGACCCTGCCAGGGGTTTGTCCCGGTCATTCTTCTCCCCGACCTTCTTTTCCAGTCTTTCCAGCTTTGCCTCCATCTGCTGGACGCGGTTGTTTGGGATGGTTAACCGGTTCGCCACCGGTAACCTGGGCTGGCTTTCTGCCTCCCCTTCCTGGTGGGAGGCCCTCATCCTCGCTGGCTCCTGCCGGTTAGACCGGGAGCGCCGGGTGCGGGCAGGCTCGGCCTCTCGCACCTCGCCTAGCCGGGCGAACGCGTTGACATGGGCAACACTCTGCCCCAGCCTCTGCTTGGCTGACTTCCTCTGGCCTTCCTCCCTATCCCCCAGCCTTTCGAAGGCGGAGTTTCGGGAGGTCGCTGGCCGGATGTTTTTTCCTTTCTTCTTCTTGTGGGCCCTCGGGATGTCCCACTCGTCGTCATCGCTCTCAATCGACACGCAATGACCATCAGGGGTGACCTGTGAATCCGTAGCTTGCGGGGGACGCGACGGCCCTGCAGCGTTAAGTGCACCGGCCAAGTTGACCGGGGCCATGGTGCTGACCAACTGGGGCTGGAAAGGTGATGGTTGCGGCATCGGCGTCTGGAACGACGTCACCGCCATCGGAGCTTGTAGAGGCATGGTCCCCGCGCCTGGAAGGGCAAATGGGAACATACCTGGGAGGAAAGGCATCCCCCCGTTCTGGTGGCACATGGCCATGACCTGGCCAAAGCCCTGGATGGCTTGTAGGTTTGCTGGGTCATTCATGAACTGAGCCATGCTTGGTGGGAACGTTACCCTCGGTCCAGCGGAAGGGACGGGGGTCACGAAGGGACTAATCACGCTGGCCGTCGGGACAGAGCTCAGACCCAGAGGCAACACCGGGGCTGAAATTACCGGTATGGTAGCAGCCACAGGGACGCTGGCTCCCTCGTTGGTGGCCTGCACCTGAGCGGAAGTAGCGTTGATTTGTTGGCTGGAAGACATTTCGAGTGGTGTTTTGGTGGGTAGGTTTGTGTTTAGGAGAAGAAACCTTAACGGTCCCACGGTCGGCGCCAAAAATGATGGTGTAAATTACTTGACCGGTCAAACTATACTAGACCGGGTCTAGAATAGTTCGCTTGATTTGGCAAAGTAAGAAAGGTAAAAACACGAAAATTGACCGGTAGGACTTTAGGTGGAACACCTGTAGCCCGATTTATATTATAACGGAGAATGCACGGGTGCTTTTACAAGGGAGTTTAGAGAGAGTGAATTCGGATCCCTCTTTCTGAGGTTTACATGAGTATTTATACTAGGCTAAGGGGACAGGACCACG